ATTGCTACTGTGGCAACAAGGCTATAAAGCAACTTTTTGAAATTTGTATTGATTATTTGATGATTGAATAGCAAGTGTTGAAAACTTGAAATTAATATTACAATCTAAGAAGCGTAGGATATGTATAATCGTTTGAATTTATGAATATTTATTTCAATCTTTGAATAATTGAACAGAAACTGTTCACGCGTGACGTTAGATGTACTTGAAAAGCCAGTTAATTAAAAGACAGTTAGGAAAAATCAAAGTTGATTTTATTTCAGCAAAAGAACCTTTATAGATAGGGTATTTCACTAAACACGATCAAAAAGTCCAAGCTCAATTTTATTTTTGTAAAATTTACGAAATTTTGAAAAATCGATTCAAATATTGATTATTCTTAATTCTAATTATGCACGAATCGAAAGCCAACTTCGATAAGCACTAGACGGCGTGGAAAGCAACCAATTTTTTTTATTTTTTATGTATACATATTTTTTATCAACTATTTTATTTTCACTTATATTTAGCCTCACAAAATCCTTTTTTTGTGATCCAATCGATGGTCAAATTTTACGCGAAATTTAGACTCCAATATCTCTGCTGGTACCTAACAAATCAAAAAGTGAGCTGCATCACATTAAAGAACGTCTCTTCTAGTGTCTTTGGGCCAAAACGGAGCTTCTACGAATAAAACGCCAACCCACGAGCGAATTTTATTTGGAGGCGGTGAAGCACGAAATGCAACTAACTAATTTTCAACGCCGAGTGGCATTAATTGATTGACAATATGCAAAAATATTACCGTAAAAGAAACTTGCAATTGTTCTGTTATATCTTTCGTCACAGAAGTGTTTTTGTACAATACAATTGTGCTTTTTAAGCTTATTATTAATTGATGGGTTGCAAGCATTCCCAACAGAGTTAAAAGACAAAAACATGGCGGCCATTGTGGTACCGTTAACAATGGATGCTAATGAGAAATCTTTTGTTAAATGATACCAACATGGCCGCGATGACGTTACGTGCTAACGAAGAATACATGTACAGGGGGACAATGCCAACCAAGGTAACCCAGACAAATTCTCATGCGAATTTAGCCAATTACGTTTGAATATTTAAATAATAATCTGCAAAATATCAGCATTTTACCCTTGAGAAGCTAGCTATTATTATACTTTATATGTGTCGGTATGATCAGGAGTGGACGAGAAACAGTTTGAACTCCATAATTCGTCACCCCCAGGCAAATTTTCGTACAAATTAGCCAATCAGTATTTAAACAATTTCCCTGCTATCAGTTTCTCTTCTCTTTCTCTCCCTTCTTTCAGGCGGGGAAGAGGGAGACTCTGCCGATGTAGAGCGTTTCCTTTGATACACCGTCGTCCACGATTGTGGACGAACAACATCAGTTTTAAAACCGGTTTTTAACCGATTACATGTAGTGCGCATGAGCAATGTTTGACGAGAGCGGCTGTCAAAATCATGACAGCGTTGCTAAGTTACGCCACGCATGCGCGACAGAAATAACGTCCTACATCGGCAGAGTCTATTTTTCTCTCTCAACCAAAACAAAAGGAAAATAGGCTCTGCTAGCAGGGAATTAAACAATAGAATCTGCACAGATTTT